ATAAAGCATGCCAGATGTATGAAAGTACATAGGTAGGACCCTCCCAAATTCAAAGCTGTGAAAAATGTGTTATGGACCATGAAATCTGGTCTCCCCCATGAAATGTGGCAGTTATAAAGTGATCTTAGTATTGCCATCTTTATTTCTGTGCTGCCTTCAGTGCAGTGGCTACTAACTGCATCCAGCTCTGAAGGCAACATTACCACCAGAAGTAGTTCATAAGTGAGACTACATCAACACTACACTCAAATCAATGCTCTGAGATCAGTCCACTGGAGGTCAATTTATTGGGTCGAGTTAAGATCTGCCAAATCAACCACAGATCTCTGTCCTGTTGACCCTGCTATTCTACCCCGGAAGAGTAAGGGAAGACAACAAGAGAGCTTCTCCCATTAACTACTTGTGTTGTAGATCCTGCAATAACTCTACTTAAAATCCAGCTATGTTGTTCATGTAGCTGGAGTAGCATAGCTTAAGTCAACTTTCTGTTGTAGTATAGATATAGTCTGAGGATGGTGTGGTATGTGGGGAAGCAAGGATGTTATTATGTATGGACAAGTGGTCAGGGAGGCACTATGGTTGGTTGGTCTTTCTCTCTCTCTTACACGGCCACCCACACACACACCCCTCTTTAACACCAAGCGTGTCAGTGAAGTTGCTTGACCAGAGGCTCATCCCATCTGCCAGGCTCCAGCTAGGCTTCTAAGGGTGTGTCTAGACTACTGAGTTTTTTCGACAAAAGTGGACTTTTGTCGACAAAACTATACCTGCGCCTACACTACCGCTGAGTTCTGTCGACATAACGTCGACAGAACTCAGCAGTTTTGTCGACGCTGGTAAACCTCATTTTACGAGGCATAACACCTTCTGTCGACAGAGTTCTGTCGATAGAAGGTGTTATTGCCTGTAGGGTTGCGTCTAGACTACAGGGTTTTGTCGACAAAGCAGCTTGCTTTGTCGACAGAACTGAATGTGTCTAGACGCTCTATGTCGGCAGAAGTTTTGTCGACAGTATCTGTCGATAAAACCCTGTAGTCTAGACGTACCCTAAGGGACAGTTACCCATTCACATCCCTAGAAGGATACTGTTTCCTTAGTGCCTTCGCATCTTGATTTGCTCTTCAAGCTGACATTTTTCTAGTTTTAAAAATGCTGATAGAAATTAAGGGTGCAAGCACCTTTAGCATGTAATAGATTGCATTAAAAATCTAATCGAGTCATTTTGTGGCATTTACTTTATGGTATCAGCACTTTTGGTGCGCTGAAAACTAATATACCAGCTTATTAGATTCAGTAAGTATGCTTTTAAAGCTATTGATTATTTTTATTTTTGTTTGTGCTGCAGTATGTTACTTCATCATGTTTGTAGAGAAAAGCCTATACTAAATAAATGAAAGACTGTAAGCTACTGTTGATTTTAAAGAGACTAGTACACAGTGAGCATAAAAATCTAGGTTTATTCATTAATGAGGGCTACTAACAATGATGCTATCAGAATTCACTAGACAGAAGGTTTCACTGAAGCTGAGGGATTAATATAATTGCTTCAAAACAGACAATGTGGCGACAGCTACAAACAATCTGACAAACAACCAGGAATTAAAACAAAGCTGTTCTTTAGGTTCTGTCTGGCTTGTGCTTTGTGAAACAGACTTTTCTACCCTTTTAGCTGTTGTAACTGAATGTATTCTTTATTGATCACTAGAGAGACAGTTAACTGGTAATATTTGCAATCTAGCATAGCATTTCATTGCATGAGATAAAATATAATAAAATAACACTGAGATTTAAAAATAAATTGCTTGTCCTCAAATTTATATTTTATTCATTAGTTTAAGAGATTTAAGGGTACAGCTAGACTACAAGAGTTTTTCCTGGATACTGGAGGTATCCCGGAAAAACTTTTCTGCGTCCAGGGACGCGTTTGCTCTTCCTCCCCCCCCCTTTCAGAAGCCCCTGTATTCTTTGTTCCCAGGGTAGACGTGCCTCTTCCGACAAAAGGATCGCATTTTGTGTAGCTTTTTTGGGGGGGGAGGGGGAGCGGAAGCAACAATGTAGCCATACCCAAAGTTACTTTGGATTGCCACCTTCAAGTCTTTCTTCTCTCATTTTTCTCTCTAAAGCTGTTCTTTAAACAGCAGTGATAAACACAATGCACTGTTTTATGTTGGAAAAAAGTGCCATCGGCCATATCCAGCCATTTTTCATTACATGACTCTTATTGAAGTCTGCGAAGGTCTAGCATAAAAATCAATGATGGGCTATGGTCTACTAGTAACTGCTGGAGGCTGCAAAAGGATATAGTACTATGGCATATATTTTTATCATAATGAGGAAAGATTTGTGTGAAATTGCTCACGTATCGCTAGCTAGCAAAACTATTTTGGTTTTTGGATGTTTCCAGAGAGGTAATAAAATAACAAATAAGTAACAAGAAGAAAAAGTGGCATTTTTGCCTAACCTTATTTTTTGAAATGACTAAACCATTTTTGCTAAAGCTAAAATATATATATATAAGATTACACTGTGGCAGGAAACAAACATAGAAAAATTTGGCCAGAACAGTTAGTCTGACAAAGTTATAAACAGCTGAAAACTGGGGCTTATAATTGAAAATGCTGAGCAACTTTAATTATAAGTTTTGCTATCAGGCCTGCCTATAATGGAGGGGTGGGGGAGGCTCCAGAGTTAGGGTTGACAGATGTCCAGTTTTTTACCAGAAGGTCTAGTCAAAAGAAAAACCTGGCAGGGTCCAGTTAGTACTCCTGGACAGGCACTAAAAATCTGATTACCTTCAGTAACTGGCCTCTACCATTGGGTGCAAGGAGAGAATGGGAAGAGCAGAAGCTGCTGCTGGAATCTGAAGGAACAATTGAGAATGGTGCCAGCAGAGAGAATTAACAGCAGCTCCTCTATCTTGTCCCAAACACCACCCTCCCCCCCATTCATCTCTACGTCTGGCACCAACTAGGTGACTGTGGCAGGTGGAGGGGAGATCAGGGGTGATGGGGCCTCATCAGAAAGAGATGGAGCAGGGGGTGGAAAAAGTTCCCAGTGCTTAGTATCTGGATAAGTGAGGAAAGATCAGGTTTCAAATAAAGTCCAAATTCTATGACAAGTCTAAAGATATAATGGATAATTATAATAATGTAAAGTCAATATTCAGGATTGAGATCATAACTAAAATACGATTATCTGGTTCTTTTGTGCTTAAAATTTTCATAGAATTTTATATTATCATCCAGAATTGGAAATTATAAAGTAAAACAAGTCAAGTGTATGTGTATGAAGATAGCAGAAGTAAACCCAGACAGTATACTTTAACTTTACCTATTACATATTTTACAACATGAACTGTACATAGTCTTACAGCAGTTGATAGGCTGAACATGTTCTTTCCAATGGGCCTTTGCCTTCCTACATGTATTTCCTGTCAATGTTGAGACACTAATTATTTATGATCCTCTAGGACGGTATTACATAAATATTAAACATATATAAAGTTTTCATTTACTGCATATTGATTGGTTCGGTCCAAAAATCAAGCCTACAGTCGTTGATAAGTGAGTTTTAAAGCACTTTGTAGCTTAAACTGTAAAATATTTAAAAAAAAAAAAACCTGTAAAGAGTATGTCAGCAGAAGCCATGGTCAATATCTCTTGAATAAATTGTTTGGAGACTAAACGATCACGTAAGAAATATATATATAGTTACATAAATCTGATTGATGTATTAAACTATTCAGATTAGTTTAATTGCTTTTCAGATGTTCTGTTCAGTGTCAGCCATTTTTTTCGTAAGTTCAGATATAAAAAAGATAAAAACATAAGCTCTTTGACACAGAAACAAACATGTTTTCACACTTTATATTTTTGGCGTGACCACTTTATAAATTATTATTTAAAAACATACATCTGAAAACTCATCTTATGAAACTTTTTTTACGTTTTTTTTTAATAAAGTTAATCAATGTTTATACTCTATGTATGATCATCTGAAAACTCATCTTATGAAACTTTTTTTACATTTTTTTTGAAGAAAGTTAATTAATGTTTATACTCTATGTATGATCCAATAAGAACATAAGAACAGCCATACTGGGTTAGACCAAATGTCCATCTTGCCCAGTATCCTGTCTGCCAACAGTGGCCAATGCCAGATGCCCGAGAGGGAATGAACACAACAGGAATCATCAACTGATCCCTCTCCTGTCATCCATTTCCTGCCTCTGACAAACAGAGGCTAGGGAAACCACTCCTACCCATCCTAGCTATTAGCCATTGATGGATCTGACCTCCATTAATTTATCTATTTCTTTTTTGAACCCTGTTAAAGTCCTGGTCTTCACAACATCCTGTGGCAAGAAATTCCACAGGTTGACTCTGCACTGCATTAAAAAAAACTTCCTTTTGTTTGTTTTAAACCTGCTACCTATTAATGAATTTCACTCTGTTTTTTTCTATAATAGCTATAGCTTCCTTTTGCACAAATTTCATATTAAGATAATATAAACATATGTTGCTAATGTTTTAGAACATCTTCCTTAAAATGTTGTGAGTCCATAATCCAAGAAACAACATAAACAGTAATTTTCTAAGTTTATAATGTGATTGATTGACATGAAAGGTTGGTTTTCTTCAGTACCTTTTTTTCTAGAACCATCAGTTCATCCCCATTTATCATTTCCACTGGAGACTAGATTTTTGAGCAACAGTCAATGGGCAGGAAGAAGCTGCTGTATAAAGCATTGAGGCTGAGTGGACTAAACAAGCTCGAGATAAACAAGGCTGAGATAAATAGTATAGCTAAATCCGTGGCAACTGAAAGATTTTTACTTTAAAACAAAGCCTCTGAAATGTCCTTAATGTCATGGAGGGTTTTTAGCTTTGCTCATCTAATGTTACAATATTGTACATGCTAATTCTGTACTGCAGAATACTAACTACAGAAATAAGTCATCGTAACTGATGGATTAATACATTATCTACCTGTACTTTTAGGCTCAGAAAAATGAGAGAGAATCTATCAGGCAGAAATTGGCACTTGGAAGTTTCTTTGATGATGGCCCAGGAATTTATACCAGCTGTAGCAAAAGTGGCAAGCCAAGTCTTTCTTCTCGGTAAGTATAATGGCATAGTAAGCATCCCTAATGTTTATGGATTTCATGTGACATAGTATTGCAGGGAATTTATATATGTGTGGTGAAAACTAACGTGAGGCTTTGCGTGGTATATGATATCTTTACTACAAAGTACTGTCAGAAACTCATTAGAATATCAATGGAAGGCCATCGTGTCTGTAGGCTCCATTTTCTCTTCTGGTTGCCTACCTAGATTTTAGTGGCAATCACACCTTTTAAATGGCTCTAATTTTAGATCCATGGAGTCAAGGGTTTTCACACACCTTTGATACCTGTCATGTCCATTTGTTGTGAATAATTTATTAAAGAAATGAACAATTTTGGGTCTGAGGTTATAGAACGTTGACTGGGGGTGAAGTAGGTGGCCTATCCCATAATTTACCGTTATTTTAATTTCCAAAATTCTATAATAAATTACTCTTTTGCCACAAATACTAACAGAAATATTACAGTTGCAAAGAGCTTTAAACAGAGCTGAATTCTTCCACCATAAAATGTTCACTATACTTTATGTTTTCTGCTATAAAGCAACAGGAAACAGAACTTTCAACTCATTCACACAAGATACCTGAACATCTTCAAATATCCCTGACTTCAGTGGCATTGAGTAGACTCAGCACTTTGCAGAATTAAGTTGCTGATTAACTATGAAAATAGCAGTAGAATAACCTGTAATCTAACATGCATGCAAACAATATTCTGATTTTATCTTAAAGTGACCTATCTGACCTATCCTTTCGTTGTTGCTTGCTGCTGTTGCTGAACATACCCAAAATAAACTCATCAACACAAGCAAATGTCCCAGCAGTTAACCCCATTATAATACCATAGCTCTGGACAGTAAGAATGTTGCAGCTTTACCCTCCCCTCCAGCTAAATGTGAATAATACTATCTGCCTGAAGATGTGCAAGAAGTTGGCAATAGAGATAGCATAGATCCACCTAAGAACCTACATTATCAAAAACAGAACCTGATTTGTCGTGGTCTCTGCATATCATTAGAAAATTGGACAGTAGTGTATTGCTTAATCTTTTGAGTGTACTAGATATTTTGTATATGAGGCGTTAAATGTAAGGAAAACACATAAATGCTTCCAGAACTGGGACTGAGGTAGGCATGTTCCAATAGAGGAAGGTAGGGAATTTGGTCAGGACTCACAAAAAGGTAGGATTGCCCTTGAGCAACAATAGTTTTTGCAGACATTAGTAGTCCTGTTCTATATATTTTTTTCTTTTTTTGAACTATGTTTTTGATGTGTAAGTTACAAATTATTCCCACATAAAGATATTTTCTGTGGTCATATATATCCTTTCAGTAGGTAAAATAATGATGCATTTCATACTAGCTTGGGAACAACTTATGTTTTCTAGTTTTTCTTAGTAAATTATTTAAAACACCCATTAAGAATATAACATACTATATATTCTTGATCATAAACTCATTTGGTCATAAGCCAACTCCCAACCTCCTCAAGTTAAAAAAAAAATTGTAAAAATGGCTATGATCTGTTCATAAGCCGACTCTGTCGGTAGTTTGCAAACTTCCAGTCCCAGCTCATAAGCATAAGCCGCTGGAATGTCAGGATGTTTTGTTTACCTGCAGCGTCTGCAGGCCTGGAGTTTCTCAGCTCCCATTGGCTGCTGTTCACCATTCCCAGCCAATGAAAGCTGCAGGAAGCAGCACTGGCCAAGGGATGTGCTTATCACCACTTCCCACCGCTCATGTTGACCCAGAAAGGTGAACAGCAACCTCTGGGAGCTGAAGTGTCTATGTCTGCAGGCACTCCAGGTACATAAAATGTTCCAGCATGCCAGCAGTTTGCCCTGCTAGTCTGGGAACTGAAGTTTGCTGACATCTTCCCCTCGCCCTTTCCCCTGGTTAAAAAAATATTGATAAAATGCAGTGACCCATTCATAAGTCCTGCTCTTTACTGTGTCATTTTTTTTACCAAAAAGATTATGCTTATGGTCGTGTACATATGGCAGTGTTTCTCAAAGCGGATCCACTCTGAGAAAGTTGCTACAGGGCCACTCCGGTTTGTTTACTTACCGACTCCATAGCCGCAGCACCTTGCAGTTCCCATTGGCTGTAGTTTGCCATTTTCAGCCAAGGGGAACCACGGAAAGCAGCAGCCCGGATCTCACTGCTTCCCACTGTTCCCCTTGGCTGCAAACAGTGAACCGCAGCCAATGGCAACTAGTAAGTAAAGAAACTGGAGCAGCGCAGTAGCAGCTTCCTTGGAGTGATCCACAGACCACTTTGAGAAGCACTGATATATGTTAATATGTATATATAATATTTGTTTCAAATCTGCTTATATTTAAGAACATTTTAAGTGGAAAATAAGAAATTTTCTCAGTTGTATTTTCTGATTTTTCTACTATTTAAAGAAAGCAACAGTATGGAAATTCACTTGTAATCTGTTGTAAAACTCTTTCATAAAGTTAATAAGATGCTTTTTTGCCCTTTATCATCTATGCCCCAGTCAAACAAGGCTCTTGATTCTCTCTCCTTTGGACAGCTTCATAAGGTCACTCAGATCTCATGAAATGTCACATACTCATGCATCACCCCTATGTGGATGAAACTGAACTCTTCATTCTGCCAACTCAATTACTGGGTTTTTTCTGTCATCAAGATGCCTAATGCCTGGATAAAATGACTGGATTTGGTGGCCAGTCTATAAGAGAGAGCATTGTGATAGTAGGAAGGGGAAATGCATCCAGGAAATTGCCAATATGCTAACCTCCCCAGCAGTCCAAATTGTCATCAGTTTGACATGCAATTTTCAAAGCATGATGATGTTAGCATCTTCTGTTAGCTAGGACATTCTACCCTTTCCTCTCTTGCTAGACTCAAGCCGTGGTGATCCATGTTTTCATCTCCTCTAGGTTAGATTTATACAACTTATTCAACCTGGAACTAAACACAGCCACCATGAGAAGGCTTAATGTTAAATAAATAAATAAATAAAATAGCTGGAAGTAAAGGATCTTTTCATTAAAGTCTTTCTTTACAAGGCATCTGTAATTTTTTTAAAATAATTTTAAATCCAGAGGGAGCAAAGAGAAAATCCAATGGGCCATATTCTTCAAAGAAGTGCTGCTGCTTTTGCTGTGCTCCCAATATAAACTGGCTCCAGTGTTGGTATAATTTGCCCTGGACAGATATCTGCAATGTATGGGTATTTGCTCCGTATTAAGAGCCAATATAGGAGCCATATGTTACACTCATTTTACTCTCCTCCTCCCTTCTTCTTCCATTATGCACACATCAGGGGGAACAGAGCATGGACAGACAAGAGAGTGCTAGGCAAATATGATTCTGCATTATTTGATCATTGTTTTAGCATCCTAGATCTGTTTGCAGCCAGCATAAGTTAGAGAAGCCATCTGTCTGTTCTGCTTTAATTAAGGGGAATTATCCCTGAAAAGAGCAGCCGCAGGATGTGTAGAATAGAAAGATAAGCTTAACGCCAACTTTCTTTCCCACCTTTAGTTTGCACTAGCTGTGAATGTCATTATTATGTTGGATGTTTATACCGAAATGGTAATCCATTATCAGGCCCATACACAGAAATTTCTGTGTGGGACTTCTTTTGTAAACAAGGACTGCAATTTTTTTTTAACTAGAAAGGCGTTCAAAATAGTCATGCAATGAGTGTGCAAAGAGAGATTAATGAAAAATTTGTTTTATCCCCCATAGCAAAACTAACCTTATTTTGGAAGTTTCTGAATGGACACTCATGTTAAGAGTAGAGATGTGCATGTCACCAGGGTGTGGCAAAGATGCAAAAAAGCAGGAGAGAAGTAGCCATTATTTGAGAGAGGCTATAATTATAAAATCAAGCTTAACTTCATATAATTTGAAAAGAAAAACAATTTGATTTTGTTTAGTAACCACTTTCCTTTAAAGCAAAGCCAGTAACCCCATCTTCTAATTATACAGCAGATCTAATTAACAGTGTGCATGCAGAATTTGGCAGATGTACCAAATGAAATTACCAGATGTACTAAATGCTTTTGAATTTTGTTAATATTTATACACCAGTCAGAACTTTAAAATACGTTCCTTGTTGTTATAGGGGGAGGAGGAATCTTTATAGGATTCCCCCCATCTGAGATCAAGTGTGTCCAGTTTTTTTTTTTAAACCATCTGGTAACCCTATTAGCAGACAGTCCAAGGATTGAATGGATATGAAGACAGATTTTTACCTCTTGATATGGTCCCTCTACAACAGGATTTAAATATATTTACATAGCCCTGTGGAGAAGTTTGTACTATTGCTGCTTACCCAGTACCTATTCTGAGACTGAACAGAGGAGCGAAGTGCCTGGATTTTTAATCTTACATCTTTCAAGAGTATGAAATTCTCAAACAAAACTTAAACCCAAAAAGGCAGATTATGAAAGTTGTCTGTGAACATCAAACAAACAAAAAACCCTTCCTGTGCCTAGCAGTTCTGCACATGCTCATATTAATATTGGCCCTGCTGTTTCACTCACTCACTCCAGTCTTATACAAAAGACATGGTTCTACAAGCATTTACATGCATGATTGACATTATTACTCTGTCAGCGATGGGTAACCAAGAATAGTGACTTAAGTTTTTTAAGTTTTTCAAGAATAGTGAGCCGCATGAGTAGCCTTCTTTGCAGATCACTGTGGCTCATGCATGCCCCCTCTGTCCCTTTCACCCACGTGCCTCTCTCGCATGGTGGCACTGGAACCCCACACTTCCTACTCCTCCCTCTCCCTTCCAGAGTTTGAACACTGCAAATCAACAGTTGAGGGCATTCAAGCTCTAGGAGGGAATGGGAGGAGCTGGGACAGCACAATTCGGGCAATTCGTGGCAAACCAAAAATGCTAGAAGGAAGGGGGAGGAGTAGGAAGTGCGAGGCTCTGATGCCCTAATGCAGTAGTTCCCAACCGCCAGTCCGTAGACTGGTGGCTGCTGGGCTGCGACACGCTGTCTGA